GCGGCAACATTATCCGGCCGGTCCTAAAGAGGCAGAGCTATTGCGACGATGCGAAACCCTCGTTCCGAAAACAAAGGGCGCCCCGTGGACCGCTTTCCCTGCCTTTATGAAGCTTTACTTTACCTTTCTACGCGATGTCAACCTGGACAATTTGCTCGAAACATACGACCTTCTCAAGGGGCTGTTGAAGTAGGTATCACACAACTCGTTGCTGGCACTATTGCTGACCCGTGACTGTGCCATTCAGCCAATGTGTACTGGCATTAGGTGACAGCCAAATGGGTGTCATAGTCCTCCCCACCGTTCTGTACCTCTCGAAAGTCCTCGCAAAGCTGGCCATGGGCCTCGACCGACGTCCAGACTTAATTGCCCACCTGCTGCGACTCGAAGGCCGGTCAAATCAAGAAGAAGCGACGGAAAAGGTGACGCTAGTGGAGAAATCTGCAAATGTTGTCCGGGAAGCATTCATTAAGTGTTTAACGGACAGAAGTGGCACGCCAGGTATCCACGGAAAGCCAGAAGGGAAGCGGATAGGGATCTACTTGATGGCAAACCTTTGCCTCAAGCTGCTTTTCCAGGTATGACTGGATATCCTTTAGTGTGAAATCAATCTAACATGGGCCAGTGCGGCAAACTCCGAAACGCAGAGCAAATGTTTGCGAGTATCAGCGCACAATCCCCTCCTCTGAAACACTTCCCAGCTTCGCAGCGCGTCACCTATCTATACTACCTCGGACGTTACCTGTTCTCCAACAACCTCTTCTATCCCGCCCAGATCGCCCTGCAAGCTTCTTACGATCAATGCCACCGTCAGGCAACGAATCAGAAACGAGTCATCCTGACCTACCTCATTCCTTGTAATATGATACTAGGACGCTTCCCCTCATTACAGTTATTGCAGCGTCCTGAGGCCGAAGGGCTGGTAGACAAATTCGTGCCAATTTGTCGGCTGATTGCTCGGGGCGATTATATAGCGTTCCGCGAGCATCTTGCAATTGGATCCCCTGAAACAGAATGGTTCGCTCGGAAAGGCATCCTTCTTGCCCTACGCAACAGATGCGAAATTCTTGTCTGGCGGTCACTTGCACGAAAGGTCTTTATCCACGCCGGTTTCCACGGCGATCCTTCACTTGGCCCTTCTCAACGTGGACCGCCACCATACCTCTATCTCAACAAGTTGGATGCGGCGGTCCGGTGGATTCAATCTCAGCATGCCCAGTCGGCCCAAAGCTCAATAGGATTCTTCGCCTCTAAACCCGAACCAGATTCCCAGGCTGGTCAAAATCTGTTCGGGTCCCAGATCATACACAAAGCAACGGACTGGGATTTCGAGGGGCTGGGCGAGTTGGACGCACAAGAGGCAGTCGCAAATCCAGGCCTTATAGAGAAATATGGAGACTATCTGGCACCGGACGGATATTTCGATGCGCAGGGACAGTGGCAGATGAACCCACCGGGCAGTCTTGTTGATGGACAGCCCTCTATAGATTACCAGCAATATGAGCTTGACCCGTACGCGAGTCGAGCCGACGGCGAGCAGGACTCAGGCAAACCTACTCTCATGATGCGCGAGCTTGAGTCCATTCTGGCCTCCCTCCTCACCCAGGGTCTGATGCGTGGATTCCTGACTCATAAGAATCCCCGTCTGGCGATTCCCGGTGCGCGTCTCCGTGGTGCCATACCGACTGGCTTCCCCAATGTTTGGCAGACAATCCTGGCTCGGGAACAAGAAGACGACAACGTTCCGGGATGGGTCCAACCGCCAGCAGTGGCACCACCACCGACAGCCGGAGGTGGACGCGTTGTGAATCTGTCCGGAGCGAGACCTGTCGGAGTACAGTAACGACTTTAGCTACCCATGTGGAGGCACAGCCCAATGGAGGATCTTTTGTACATAGCAACGAATACCATGACACAAACACAAAACAACTACGTGAATGATAAGCCAACATCTGGTACCTGATGTACCTGAATGATGGAACAACCGCATCAAGGCATTTAGACCGACTGGGCGGTCAAGATATCTGCTTTGGGTGATGATCGACCGCCAAGCTCGGGGTCGGGCCCGAGATCTCGGTCATAATTCAAGAGCCGAGGACTAAACTCCGAAACTGCCGGCTTTTGTGGATATCTGGCTCAGATTGATGATTCTGGACTCCAAGCTTGTGGAGCAGGGTCTCTCGACCGTGACCTTACAGTCCCCAAACGGCATGGCGGCGGGTGTGGCAGAATTCTGAAGGATTGCTGAAGAATTCCAGAACAGGTGGCGAGCGCTTATCCACGAAATGACCGGGGTAGTTCCAAAATAAGCTTATTTGGGCCTACAGAACTAACATCAAGTCCAGTTCACGGCTTTCGGTCCTTCTTACATTTGTCAATGCGGTTTTGGGAGGCTCATGCTGGACGCAACCTGATACATTGGTCCGATAGAAATTGGTATAGCTCTGAGGCTCGGTCCGATTCAAACAGGCATAGCAAGGTTACAACAGGCTTCAATCCCCGGGTAGATGACGACGCCGCCCTCGGTGCAAACAGTCCCTCCTTATAAAATCTCGGACTTGCAATTATGAGCTTGCGTATACCTTGAAGGCCTTCTTTATAAAAAGGGAACCTCTCCCAGTTACTTTGCCACTTCATCACACTTTCGGAACAATAATCCACAGCATTCACTCCTTTCTCTTGATCATCTAGCTGCACAATCTTCCCCATGCGCGCTGTTTCAACTTTGGCCGGCCTGGCTGCCGCTGTGCCCCTGGCTGCGTCTGCAGCCATCCAGACAAGTTCAGCCGGCTCTGACCTTCCTGTTGTGAACACCACTTTGGGATATGTGCGGGGCACATACTCCCCCTTCCGTGGTGGTGACACCGCCGTTGTCTACAAAGGTATTCCGTTCGCCGCTGCCCCGACTGGTGAAAACCGCTGGAAGGAGCCCCAGTCACCCCAGCCCTGGTCTGGCGTCCTGAATGCAACCGAATTTGGCCCTCAATGCGCCCAGTCTTACAGCAGTGCGGGCATCTTCAGTAGCGGAAAGAAAAGCACTAGCGAAGACTGTCTTTATTTGAACATCTGGACCCCTAACTACAACGACACCTCTGACATCACCTCCAAGAACCTGCCGGTGTACTTTTGGATCTACGGCGGTCGATTTGAGGGTGGTTCCGGTGACGTCCTGACCTATGATGGCACCGGTCTCGCCGCCAAAGACATCATCGTCGTCACCATCAACTATCGGTTGGGCCCCTTCGGCTACCTCGCCCACCCCGAACTGTCCGCCGAATCCGGTCACAACAGCTCTGGTAACTACGGAATTCTCGACCAGCAAGCCGCCCTGCGCTGGGTTCACGAGAACATTGCCAACTTCGGTGGCAATGCCAGCCAGATTACTGTTGGCGGTCAGTCTGCCGGCTCGGCCAGCGCCTTGGATAGCATGTGGAGCCCGCTGACCAAGGGCCTCGTTGCCGGTGTCATCTCTGAGAGCGGTGCTCGCGGTCCCCATGACCCCATGACCGGCAGTGCTGCCACCAGCCACCGCACTAAGGTGGCCGCCGAAGCCCAGGGTGTCGAGTTCCTCAAGGAGCTGAACGTCACCTCCATTCAAGAACTGCGCACCTCCGTCTCCATGGAGACCCTGCTCGAATACGACTCTCTCAGCGATACCATCTTCGAAGGTACCCAGTTCGCCAACGCTTCCGCCTTCTTCATGGAACCCCCCATGTGGCGTCCCAACATTGACGGCTACGTCTTCCCCTACGACTACACCCAGTCCCTCCTTCTCAATGCCCACTCAGACGTGCCCATCCTCACCGGAAACAACAAGGACGAGTCCGGCGCCGAGACTGACCCCGGTCTTACCGCCTCCACCTACAACACCCTCTACCAGGAGGTCTTCCAGAACTTCTCGGAGGAATTCTTCAAGCTCTACCCCGGCGGTTCCACCTCCCAGGCCAACAACAACTCGAACGCCCTCTACCGCGACATGAGCCGTATCGGTACCTGGCAGTGGGCTCTCGACTGGGCCAAGGGTGGTGCCAAGAGCCCTGTCTACACTTACTACTTCACTCGCTCCCCGGCTGAGAACCGCGACGAGGGCGCCTACCACGGCTCGGAACTCTGGTATACCTTCAACAACATCCCTTACTCCGACTACTCCAATGTCACTTGGTACCCCTATGACTATGTCGTTGAGGAGTACATGTCCAACTACTGGGCTAACTTCATCCGTACTGGTAACCCGAACGGCGATGGACTCCCTCATTTCCCGCCCAGCACCGACTCCGAGCAGACTATGTGGTTGGGTGACTCTTGGGGTGCCGGCCCTATTTCCGATAGCGAGGAGCGTATCGAGTTCATCAAGAGCTGGTTTGCTACCATGCCTGAGTGGTAGACGGATGGGTGTATCCTATCACCTTTTGTACAGAATCGTCTGTTCACGTTCGTGTTTATCATCGTGCCTGAGGCATGCGATGTATTATAAATATTGTCAAGTTCTTACACTCGTTTACTGGTGCAGAGTTATTACTTAGCTCACTGGTACTTTACTTTGTTGAATAAATATTTATAAATAGTGGCATCGCGTATCACGCTATCCTTTTTATATTCAACCATGCTGTCACTGCGCTTATGTATAGTAAAGACTTCGGTGCTGATCCGAAGATTTTTTTCACTTGACACGTCTACTGAGTAGAAAGTCCAACGTATTCATATCGAATTTCTGAATGGATAATATAATAAAGAAGGTAGGGCAGTTGATCATGTTGAACAAATACACATTGCCGATGTGTAATGCCGTACAAACTGAACATAAGATGCTAATCTACTTGAGATGCCAAAATAGAAAGGAAAGTAAGAAGGGATATGGGTAGATAAGATTGAGCAAAAACATCGCCATTTCGAGACACCAAAAGCTAGATATATCAGGGTATCAAGATCATCTTCAGAGGTAAGACCTTTGAATAAACGAGAACTGAAGTATAGAACGAAACACAAAAATGAGAGAAAAGCTAGACTCCACCAACAAACCGCGCAGCTGCCTCTATCATCTCCTCCTGCTCCTCCTGCCACCCAAGAATATGTCCCATCATATAGATATCATGCGGCAAGCCTGGCATTTCCAGGTACTCGACATTATTGCCCGGGACAGCCCGCATCGCATCCGCAAACCCCCTGACACTATCACACAGCATTTCAGCACCCCCGACCTGCGCGAAGATCGGAACAGGCGTCGCAAAGGGATGCAGCGCCGGCGACAGGTACGGATCATCCAGACGGACTGACTCCGGCGGAGCAAACGCACGCGCTCCCCACGCGGCCATCTCCCCATCACAGTAGTCAGTCCGCTGATTCCGATGGGCGTTGACAGCCTGCGAGTCACCCTCGAAGCTGTACTCCAACGAGGGTGAGAACAGAAGGCACGCCCGAGGCGGTGGCAGCTCTGCAAGCTCATGGCCGCTCTCCTGCTGGAACGAGGCGAGGTGGCGCAATAGAGCCATGACCATGGTAGCTCCGGATGAGTCGCCGACGAGCACGATGCGGGACGGCGAGATGTTCAGTTCTCGAACAAGGTAGAGATATGAGGTCATGGCGTCTTGCATGGGCCCCGGGTAAGGGGTTGGATTGTTGCCACCTGCTAGCCGGTACTGCACCCACAGCGACCGGGTACCTGTACCCAGCTTCTCGTTGAGTAGGTCGGCTGTGAAGCCGGAGTCATCGGGCCGGCCAGTTAGCCAGAGGAATGCGCTGCCGTGGAATGATAGGATGACGAGGCTCTTCTCGTCATCTGTTTCTTGCTCTTGATCATCGTCCTTGATGTCGATGATTGGTGGCAAGGTCTTAGGTGGAGGAGAGGGATACCATGTCCCGCCGATGGTTTCAGGTTTGATAGTGTCGCTTGTGAAAGCACCGCGATACGAGTCTTCCGGGGCTGGGTTCATGAGGACCCATCGACTGCCCAGCTTTCTTGACTCTAGGCTCAGGGACTGCGCGTAGCCGAGCTCGCGAATGATGGTCATGGCTAGCTTTGTGAAACGGGTGGTGAATGCTTGGCGATATGTCCATGTCGGACTCTGTCTGAAAGAGGGTATTATGTAGTAAATGCCAAGGAGTAGAGACACTAGTGAGACTCGGATGGTTGATATAAGCAGCCAGATGGTCCAGCCTGGTTGGCGAGTCCGCCAGCCGTTGGGGATGGCGTCGTCCTCGGCCAGCGTGCGCGCCATTTTCGACGCTTTTTTTTTCTTTCTAGAAGTGTTGCCTGATACTAATCGGTTGGTACCTCGATGGGAGATGACAGAGGTGGCTTGTCTGGTAATATAAGATGGGGCAGCCTCGCTGAGATCACCCGCTCTTGGCAACCCGCGCGGCAATCTGGAACAGGCCTGATTGGCTGCCGTTGCTGCGTGGAGCATGACTTCGATATCATCCAATCGGAGCCCAGCCGAGCAAACTTGGAGGCCTCAGGCAATCACCCCGGCTGGGTTGCACATACTCTTTCTATTAGGATTCCCTGTATTCTCTTTCTGTGTCATCTAGTATTATTCTTTTCTATTTTCATATGTTTGTAGATACTCTACCTGTCCAAGTCAGTCTTGTCCGCTACTCATATATCTCCTATTCATCATGGAACGATACTGTCACAAATATATACTTATACTATTCGGCTCATTTACCATTTGTACTCTCAAGTTGACTTCAATTGACAACTGGACGGCCTCTGCTTTCTATGGCTGCAGTGTAAAATCATGGTCATGCCGACCTTTCAGATAGTCATAATTCTCATCGACCCACTCAACGCACGGCACCAAATGGCCCCAGTTTACCTTCCCTTGTAAGCTCCGAGGTAGTATGACCTTCAAGTCTGAACGGTACCACGCCGGGAAATGAATCGTGACGAGCATAACACGCGGGTCATCTGTGCGGTTCGGCATGCCTGCATGCCACAGCCGGAAGTCCCGAATAATGATAGCTCCCTTCGGTAGAGATGGCTGCACTGGGGGAGATATCTTGCGGCGAGCCTCAACGATCTCCGGAATCACACCCGTGTCGTCACTGTCCCGAGGATCGGCGTCCCGGTGGCTACCAGGCCAGAGCTCGGTGGCGCCATTCTCCGGGGAGGTTGCCACCAGATTTACATTGATACATAGTCCAAACGGGATCTTGGGAAAGTCAAAGTGCACGTCGACATGCACTGGTTGCCGGTCCTCGGCTTTGAAGGCCGTGTTGGCGCTATAGAAACGTAGGTGTGGGTTTGGCCCCAGCATGCATTCGGTGATAGCAGTTGCCCAGGGGTTTGCAATGACATCCTCAAACATGTAGTTCGGGTCGACGACTGGCTCTTGCTGGATATTTCCTGTGCGGGAGCCAAAGTTGCGGTGGGTTTGCGGGTTGGCATATAGAGTTTTGGCCTCAGGGACCATGCGCTCGTTCAGTTTGTCGAGATGGGCAGGGTCAACGCCATTGGTGATAACACAAACGCCATCTCGATGAAGGCCTTCAAGAGCTGCTTGGAGGTTATGAGAAGAGAGCTTCTTGGTAGCGCGTTCCTCGTCCGAAAGTGTAATCCGAACCAGCTGCGGGGTTACCATGGTGGCGTTTTCAGTTGGAATCGTAGTGAGGAAACAGAGAAGAAAACTGGGGATCAGACTGTAACACTTACTGCACTGCTTCCAGAAGCGAGAGGGGTCACCTATATAGTTTGCAGAGCAAAGATACATTTGGATGAACGCACTGATAAGCAACTCCTCCCGACTAAAGTGATACGCCTTCCCAGTTGGGAATGGCCGGTGGTGGCGGCAGGTGACCCGACCAATCGCTGGCCTGAGGTTTACCGTCGGCTGCTTGGACCTTCCTCTATTCCTTCATCCTTCTTTAATCCTGATAGTCAGGAGGACTCCAGTTGGCACTTGACTCGTTATCTGCCGTGCTGCTGCTCCTCACAGTGTCTTGGACCCTGCAGGTCTGTAAATTCAAGACATAGCAAACCGATAAACAAAGCAAGACTCAACTATAAAGTAGGGGCTTGCGTCCAGAAGGTGTGTGATTGACTTTCTAGGCGAAATATTGCCCTTTGGTCCTTTTTTTGTATCATTGAATCTGATCAGTCATGTCTTTAGAGGGGAATAGAAAGAAGTTGGGGGTTCCGGATGAAATCGTCAGACAATTACCTAGTAACGTTGAAGAGACTGGGGCTGAACGAACCAATGATGCAGAAAGATCCCTGGCCCACACCAGATTCGAGCACAGTCTCGGATTCTGGAAGGCGTGCCAGTTCTACCGTCCAGCCTTGCTCTGGTCTTGCTTTGTCAACCTGGCAGTCATTCTGTGTGGCTTTGATGGCGCTTTGATTGGAAGTCTGGTGGGGCTAACCCCATTTGTTCGCACATATGGCAGGTTGATGGACGGTCAATATGCGGTTGCTCCCTCTTGGCTGTCTGCCTTCAATTATGCATCATACGTGGGCAGTGTGCCTGGCTCGCTGGTGGCAGGCATTGCCTATGACAAGTATGGTCCGCGCATGACCCTCGCTGCAGCTTCAATCGGCTCGATCGGGTCCATCTTCTTTCAGTTCTTCAGCGAAGGCCCAGCTCTTCTCTTCGTTGGCGAGCTACTCAACGGATTCATTACGGGCGTCTACCCTGTCCTCGCCAATGCCTATGTTAGTGAAGTTGCTCCCGTTGCAGCTCGCGGTGTCCTCGCTGCCGTCATAAACCTGTCCTATGTCATTGGTCAACTAGTGGCATCGGGACTACTCAAGGGGACCAGCACGATGGATAGCAAGTGGGCTTATAAGATCCCGTTCGCTTCACAATGGGCTCTGCCTGTCTTCATCCTTTCGCTCATATACTTCTGTCCGACTCCTCCTTACTGGCTCTGCAAGAAGGGTCGACCAGAGCAAGCGCGAAAATCTATCCAGCGTTTGACGACATCCGAAGTTGACGTGGACGCATACCTCGCTCATATTCAAGAGACTCTCCGCTTAGAAGAGAGCTCTAGGACTAAGGCCAGCATTCTCGACTGCTTTCGCGGTACAAATCTACGGCGCACTATTATCTCCTGTCAGGCTTTCAATATTCAAGCCCTCTGTGGTAATATCTTATTCATAAATTATGCCGTTTACTTTTTCGAGAATGCTGGTCTGGATACGTCGGATGCTTTCTCAATGAATGTGGGGCTGACATGCATGGGCTTTGTTGGGACACTAGCCTCCTACATTCTCATCTCATACGCCGGTCGGCGCACCATCTACCTGTGGGGCTCTACCGTGATCGCCTTGCTCCTACTTCTCGTCGGGATTCTGGCCGTTGTGCCCCAGCACAATTCGGGACCTGTGTGGGCTATGTCCGCCCTCATGGTGATATGCAACCTCGTCTACGACATGTCGGTGGGACCACTGTGCTTCACCGTCATGTCCGAGGTGTCCGCCGTTAACCTGAGAGGTGTCACTATAGCCCTGTCCAATGTCACTGTGGTGATATGGTCTGTCATATTTGCTGTCGCCATTCCCTATGCAATGGACACTACTGGTGCCAACTGGGGCGGCAAGCTGGGATTCCTATTTGCTGGCATCGGAGTTTTGGATACACTCTGGTGCTACTTCTTCCTGCCGGAGACTAAAGGTCGAACGTTTGAGGAGCTGGATTTCATGTTTCAGCAGAAGCTACCCACGCGTCAGTTTAGCAAGTACCAATTTACAGAGACACAGCAAGTAGCACCAGAGGCTTAGCTTGTTGTCTAATAGAAGCTAAGAAGATAGAATCAGAAGGCAAGCCTCTGATATATGTGGATATTAGATTTTAGTGAGAAAGTGGAAAGGCTATTCTACTTTTGGTTCTGTGGTCAAATGGCATCTTTAGTGAAGTACTAATAGTTGAGTTAATTCTTCAAGCTTTCACTTGATGACCTTGGTCTAATTTCTTCCTCGAACTCGTCGACTTCAGGTAAAGAAGCAGCAGCTATCTTGGTCCAAATGCTACACAAGCGCCCCCTATGCTGCACGGTTAGAAACGAGCTTCATTTTCCTGTTCCTATTTGAGATTTCCACTTCATCCAACGGTGTAACATATCATGTAGAGAATGAGCTCGGCGCAGCTAGAGCACGGGAGCTTGTCTGACCATCAACAGTTAGAATGTGAAATAGGACTACCACTGACCATCAACCAAGTCTAGTTGTAGATGAATAACATACACCTGACCCTAGCTACTAGCTAGGAGTCAGACTGACGCTCCAATCTTATAGAAAAGTGCGGAGAATGAACTTTAAGAGAGTATTGGTAGCCGGTGACCAGTGGTCTAGACATTCAGTACTCGATGTTGACTATTAATGGAATTAGTGTGACTTTAGTATGCGTCCATCTGTGTGTTTTGGATACGCTTGGCTTGTAAATGAGCAACCTGCTTCTTCCATTGACAAGGAAGGTGAGTGATTACTATATTAACTGTTGTCTTATTCTATCAGACGCAGCTTTGGGAATGTTAGTCAACTCCTTGGGTTATGTAGTGCTAACTTTCCCGCTCATTCAACAAGCGGGTCCCATAGCTCAGTTGGTTAGAGCGTGACGCTAATAACGTCAAAGTCGAGGGTTCGAGCCCCTCTGGGACCATATCTTTTTGCAAGTTTTTCATGTTGAACATGTGTCTGTCTCATCAGGTTATTCAATTGATTGACTTACTTACTACTAATTGACCAATTATTACAGGTAAAGCAATAAATTGATGTTCTTGGGGGTGTACCTGCGTGATGCTAACCCAGTCATGACTAACTACGAGTCAACATTCAGTCGATCGTACCTACATGTTATTGGCCACAATCGATATTATTCGATCTCTATGGGACCTAAAGGCATATACATATATATATAGCCCTTCTTTACACGGGAATATCAAGAGAAGAATCTAGCTTCTTGGTGGGTTGAGGATAAACCTCATTGGGTTGGGAACTTGAGACTTCGAATTCCATTTACAACCAGTTACTATACTAGTACATGGGATGGTAGTGTGGAACGTTCTACGATACTGCGAAACTGGCCAGCTCGTGTTCCTCAATTGCATGGCCTAGCAACTCATGCAGCCAGCCTAGCTTTGGACAACTGGCAGATAGAAATAAAACCAGTAGGCCTCGGTCTCCCACTCTGGGGCTAGAATGGGATTAAGGTGATGAGTGTTCGGCACCTTTGGAAATGTACCTTATCAACAGGTGTAATTGTTTTGGTCGTCTCATTAACGTAGACGGCAGGGGCAGCGAATTCTTCTCCTGACCTCATGGTAGTACATTTGTTCCATAGACAGTGTCTCCGTGCTCTATCTGTTCTCGGTGATGGTCTAGCCACTGAATGTAAATGCCCAGTATCCTCGGTCATACATTCAATACATGTCAATAGCAACCGAGGAATAAACACTAACCTCTGCCTCATGGGTTAGGACATTTATATCTGTACAATCCCTGTGTAGCATCATAGCGACTGCTGTCCTTACCGTCCATATTCCTGGGGCTGGCGATTGAATACTGTGATAGGCCATAGGAATGATCGTAAATGACAGTCTGTGGAAAGATGATCAAGCACTACTCACTTTCCAGCGACATCCTCCTCGTTGATATATTCCCCCCCAATCGGTAGTTCCTTTGAAATGTAGTGCGCTTATATACCCCGAAAGGCTTCATCAACACTCATACCAGCGGGTGGCCGGTACGAATGTTTGGATCTTTCTAACACATTCCTCAATCATCTCACACATTTTCTCTCTCACTCATAGATACAGTTCAGGCCTGCATTCAATAAAATCAAAGCCGCTCTCTGAACGACTGGAGAGTTTGTTATGATTGATCAGTGTCCTTTCATACCGCCGCCAGAATAATGAATAACCACAAATAGTTGTTTGGTATTTGTGCCCGGGGATGACGACGAACAGCATGATTCAGAAGCACAGTCTGAAGACGTTAGTTATGTATTGGGTGGGAAAAAAGAAAAAAAGAGAAAGTAAGATGTAATCAAAAATGCAAAAAGATGGTCCCAGAGGGGCTCGAACCCTCGACTTTGACGTTATTAGCGTCACGCTCTAACCAACTGAGCTATGGGACCCGCTTGTTGAAAAGGTCTCTTTGCATTGGCTAAATAAGCTAACGACAAAGTGGAGTCAACAATCTTGCGGATGGACGTGCCATCAGCTCGTTTCATCTCACAAAGCCCACGCTCACTATGGTGAGTGATCTAGATGGTTAAAGGTTATTCAACAGGTGACTTTGGCTAAAAATCGTTTATCATGGTAATAATTGGTAAAGAATCGTAGAGTATTGCCTAATATCGATGTTAGGCCTGGGCGGATGGCTCTGCGGTGGGCATGTGCACTAACGGTATATTTATCTGGCATCACTTCAAAGGTATTGGCGTACTCTAGTTGCTCAACTAGTTAAACTACGCTGATGAATATCGAGGCACCAACCGTACCATTCTACAATTCTACAGAAATACAAAGCAATAAGTCTTTAACAATACCTAAGGAATAGGATACAGGGATCATTAGGAAATGTTACATTAGGAATTATACGTGGTTTCAAAGTCTCTTAAGCCTGCACATCGACCAATATCTT